ACATCGGGTCGTGATGTCCTCGCCAGCCTTTCTGCCTATTTTCATCTGACGTCGTCTGATGGCGTTGCAGGTTCAATCAAATATTTCTACAAAATTAAAGATAGTAAGAAGTTAATAGAATTTAGTAATCATATTAGGTAATGACCATTGAGAAACTTACATAAAACCAGGAGTTTTCAGAAAACGATAACCTCCAGTTATATTAGGCGCTACATCTTCAAGGAAATAATAAATATGACCAACTGATATTCCCATCAAATCAGTTAATACTTCACCGCCGAGAATGAATGAAAACCCAAGCAACACCCAAGGCAGAAAGGGTGCTTGGAAAGTAATTAAACCAAAAAAATTCATGCGAGCCCATGGATTTCGTCGAGACCAGATATAAACTAACATTATAGTGAAGGCATGCCCCAAGAAAAGGAGATTAACAAATAAAGCAATTACCTAAGAGAAATCGAAAAAAATGACAAAGTTAATAACATAAATTGTGAAGAGTCAAATCTTTTAACCAACTATTTTTAAGGCTAAAAGCTAAAAATAAGCTATAAATATAACAGGATAAGGTTCATAATAATAATAAACAAAATGTCTTACAGTCATACAAACGCCACCGAATAATAACATATAAAAAAAGTCAGCTGTTCGCCCACGGAATGACCCTTCCTCTAACATACTGCAATATTTGTAAGTGAAGGTAACGTTGAAAATGAATGAAAATCCAAAATATCCGAAAAATAGAAATGTTGTGAACAAGCGCCATATCTGTAAAAGTAAGAAGTTCAACCATGAATCAGAACGAAAACAAAATGAAAGTACATAAGATTTGGAACTTGTCTGACAATAATCTTTTCTTCGGCGTAAAAAATTTTGATCAAATAAGATCTTTGGATAAAAAGTGAAAGCAACGTTGAAAAGAAATGCCTGGTTAAAGGTATCAATAAAACAAATAAAGAGAGAAAACTGAACCAGCCATGTGAAAAATTGGCGTTAATCTAATGGAGTAACAAATAATGGCGTAGAGTAAAGAAAAAGAGATAATTGTCAGAACAGGATATCCAGTCAACGAGAATTTACCTGTAATTGTTGAACAATGAGTGTCGGATTGAAATATAATTGGAAAGGCGTAATGAAACCTAGTTGCTGTAAGTCGGAGGAAAAACAAAGAAATGCCGTGTAATATTAGGATAATAATTAGTTAATAAATTGTAAAACAATATTGTAAATTAATTGAAAACTTACCACTAGAAGTGTTGTAATTACACAAGCTGTTAAATAATAACGAGTAATAACAGGTATTTCTTGGTATGTTTGCAGTAAAAACCTAGCATCCATTGGATTTTAGAGTTTACCAAAAATATCAAAATAAAATCAAGATTTTTACGTAAATATTATTAATCCTGTAGAAAGCCACTAAATTATGGTAGGCTTAGGAATTGGATTTAATTAGACTTTAAAAGTCTGTTTAACATCGTTTAAGTTAATTTATACAAGCGAATCACAGAGGAAAAATTAAATATAATTCAAAATCTTGAACCTCGTATTTAGCAAATGTCTCGTCATGAAAAGCTTAACTAGACCAGGTGATAGTAACAGTAAACATTGTAAGAGACATGCGTTAAGAAACCGGTTGAGTCGCCCCTAACGGATGATCAAGTAAGTACACAGTTATTTCCATGACAACAGAACAGAATTCAGATTAAATCATTCAATTGAATGGATTGATCAGAGTATAACTGTTATTCCTGCTATTACTCTTTGGGATTGATAAAGTATTTGAAATGAGTAAACATCTTATGCTTGGTTCAGTTTTATTAATTAGATTAAAGTTTATCTTATTGTACACTGCTCATTAAAACAGTATTAGTGTGAGCTTTAATGACTGACATGGTGTACACTGCTCATTAAAACAGTATTAGTGTGAGCTTTAATGACTGACATGGTGTAATGTTTCACTCATTTTTGGTGTTTCTAATGCTCTAATGATTTGACTCCTGGTGATATTAACTGGTTTAAAGCTAGCTTTAAGTTCAATGTATTATTGATAATTGATCCTGATGTGTGGAATACAAACAGACCGAATAAGCAAAACAAGTGTATTTAAACTGAACGAGACTTGGATATTCTCACGCTCTAATGTTTTGTCATCATAATCCATAAAATGTGGACAAACAGAAATTTAAAACCTCTTTGCTTTGAACCTAAAAATTAGTCAATCATCTACAAATAAAGCCAATGTAAAGATTGATCATCATCATTAATTGGTTTCTCTGATTTCAACCAAGTTCCCATCGATTTCTGGTTATATTCCTTAATTTAAAATTGAAAGTTTAAAGTGGATATCCAATTGTTTTAGCTGCAACCATCCTCTCGATGATCCAATGAAAGTATAATTCATCTCGACCCATAAATGCTGTTTATTGATTGTGTTTAACTTGATCAAGCAACCAACTTGATTTTACATTGCTCACATGTTAGAGTAATTAGAGTGTTTGAAGGCACGAGATTTAATTAGAAATCAAACTTGAAAAATTTGGCATAATAATTTCTTTGTATTTTATTTGCAAAAAAGATTCAAAAAGAGTATATTTCAGGGTAGAAACAAGTTTTTTTCATTTGTTTTTTCGTAATAATTGACTTCCAATATGAAATCGGGAACAATCCTGATTGTCTGTGAAAACAATTTAATTGCCTTTGCTGTAAGAATAGTAATCAAATATGGATCATAATTGACATGCATATAAAGTTTTGGATAAGACGAAAATGAAATTCTCAGAACAAATGGTATCACTATAACATTATTTTCATTTCTTATTATTTCTAGATATTAACAATCAATCAATCAATCGTCCGAGAAAAAAAACCAGTTACAACTGTCATCAGCACCTTTTCATCATACACATTATTTCCCTCATCATCATCATTTATTAAATTCACTATTATAAATTATCACCATTACCTCTATTCTTCAAACTCGAATCAGAGAGTGAAGTATAGAGAAAAAAATCTTAATAATCAACGAAGTAATCAATCAAAAAACATAGCAATTATCAGAAAATTGTTAGTCAAGGCAACATTCAATTAGGGCAATTGGATTGAATTCATTCTAAATCACGCCCATCATCATCAACAACATCATTAATATGAAAAGGTCATTGTTTAACAAGTAATAATAGTTACATAATGATAATGCGAGATGGTAAAATAAATTTACATCAATATTAGTGAATGATAAAATTAAATGTAATGCTCATTAGTTGAACGTTATAATTCAGTTGATAATTTGCGTCTAATTGAAGATGTTGCGGTTGTGGTTGTTGGAGTTGTTGATGTTGATGATGACGATGTTAAAGTATAATCAATGTTAATAGCGCAATGGTCTCTACCATCACTGGTAGAGCCTGTCAATTGATTGGACCTCAATCCACTTCCATTGCCTCCAACGAATTGTCCACTCGATGAAGTTGATTGTAAACCAGATCCGCGATTTGGTTCCATTGGGATTGGACTTGAACCAGAATCAGTTAGACCCATATTCCAACTGTTTCGGGAACCTTTGAAAGGTGAAACATCTCTTGATGAGGTGATACTCTGAATAGTTAATGAATTTTTAAGTACTGAATCATCGGATATACTTTCAGAGTCTTCCGTTCGATTACAATGTAAGCCCATTAAATATCTAACTTTGTCTTCGTTGGATGAGGATGAGGAATAACCCGAGTTGGGCGGAGGTGAACTGGACTCGTTAAGCTTTGCAAGTAACTCATCAAGTAGGCATCGATCGGTTTGAGTAGCACTTGAGGTTCGAGAATTAAGAAGAGAATGAGAATTTGCATTATGATTATTATTATCACTATTAACATTATTTATGGTTTCAATCATGTTGCTATTACGCTGAGTGATTAAAGAAGAATTAACAGAATCAGAATTGGATGGATCATCTAATAATCGAAGGCTTGATTCAAGAGAGCAAATTGCTCCATTAACTCCACATACAGATTTACCAGATAGTTCTGAGCAACCGTTAATTCCACTTCCCAATCGATTGATGGTACTAATTGATTCATCAATCGATAAAGGACCACCAAGAGACGCTGATCCACTGACTGAGCCTCCTACTTCATTACGTCCACTTCCCGTGCTGAGAGCTGAACCGAGAGATCGATCCGATTTACCAGACAATTCACCAAGAGATTGAGTTTTATCAATACTTCTACCTTGAGACCTTTGATTAGAATCGGAGGAACATAATTTTTGCAATAAAGTGAGAGTTAATCTCATATCATTTGATAAACGAGCCACATCTTGTCTAATTACATTCATTTGTCCATCAATACGATCAATCGATTCACGATCTGAAGAGGAATCAGTTCTCAACAATTTATCTTCATTTTTCACTTTCTTTTCAACTTTTCCATCACAATTAAGAGTAGATCTACGATTTGATGGTGAATTATTTTGTTGTGGTTTAACGATTGGAGAGGCCGTAAAGCGTAAAGCTGATCTTCTTGCAGTTGATACTTGATTTTTAGGTTGATGTGAATGACCATGTAGAGGTGATTCATTTAACTCTGCACTTTGATCATTGGACATTAAATTCCAGTTATGAGTAACTGAACGATTTCGAGATCTCAGTCCAAGTGGTGGTGATACCGCTGGTGAACCTGATCCACTTTCATCATCATCATAGCCTTCATTGACACCTTTAGCATGACGTTTGTCACCATTCTCCTCCTCTTCATCCTCTTCATCATTTCCTTGGTCATCTCCACCCTCTTCCTCATCCTCTCCATCCTCCATTCTATCCTCTTCCTCGTCATCTTCATCATCCTCAGAGATGGATGGAAGTGTCAAAGAGTGGGCCGGATGAAGACCTCCATGACCACCACCTCCACCCGCGCTTCCACCCCCTCCTCCTCCACCACCAAAGTATCCTCCTGGACCTCCACCAGGTCCTCCTCCCATTCCATAAGTATCATCATCATGACTTTCTCTCAAGTTAAAGGTTAAATCGTGAATAATTTCAGCACAAAATGTTTCAGCAAATTCGGGATACAGTTTTAATACTTCTAATAGGCCACTGATGTGAATTGATTTGAGGTCACAGTAGGTTAATGCCTTAACATCGCTTGATGATTTGATAAGGGCTTCTGGATTTAAGGAGGAAGGTATATCACAGCCGACAAGATCACCTTTACCCAGGATGGCCACAACCATTGAATTTTTCAAAACTTCCATTGACCCATTACAAACCAGATAAATATATGAAAGTGCATCACCATCATGTAACAGATATTCCCCTGGAGCACAGAAATTACTTTTAATAAGACGTGAGAGTAATTTGAGACAACCCTGAGGGGCTGTCTCGAATATTGGTAACGAAAGGATTTCACGATGCAAGTGTAATGATACATCACCACGAAGTTCATCAGGAAATTCACGAAGTATCTGAATAGAAAGATAAGGGAGTCGGAGGGAGGGAGAAAGAGAAAGAAAATATGACGAAAACAAATAAAAATCAATAAAATCAAGAACTCAAAATATCAATGAAAGTATTTTTTTTTCAATGGAAAAAATTGAGATAATTGGCTTCTTTATTCAGGTTTAGAATGATGAAGGAGCAAGAAAAAATTCAACTTCATTATTCTTATTATTTCCTCAGATGAGTTATCGATCTTCTCTAATTTAAAATGAACTTTTCTCAAGTTTATATATCTAGGTAATGTTACTACTTATTCATGAAGAAGGATATTGACCCGACTCTTGAAGTAATTTATTATCATTTTACGCTGATAATCCAATTTTTCTGCAGAATAAGTTTTTCATCTTTACTCTTTCTCAACACTGCAGGGTCTATTTTGTTTTTCATTTTAATCTCCTTTCTTTACAATCCCTGTAACAATTTGCAACCATTCATAAAATAACATGTAATAAAAAAACACTTAAATGAATGCTGATTGATGAACAGTCTAACAAGCCTAAATAGGTAAAAGTACAATTTCTTTATCTGAAAGAAAGATGACGGTAAATGATTCTACAGTTTGATGATAAAGATGATAGTAATGATGATCCTTACTTCGTTAGCATCAATACCATGGTTGAGGGACCACGTTGTTTGAAAATATTCAGTCATCCGTTGACGTAATTGTTTAGGTAATTGATGGAGGCGAAAAAATTCCTTCAAATCTAATAACTTAGTTTGATATTGTGATCGACGGGCATAGATCCTTTGAATAATTGCAGTAACATTACCAAAGACTAAAGCATGCATAAGAGCACCAATGAGCATACTGAATACTGAAAATATTTTCTCAGCATTGGTATTAGCAGCAACATTACCAAAACCAACACTTGTAAGGCTACTTGTTGTGAAGTAAAGGGCAGTTGTATAGGCAGAGTACATGTCCGATGTATTGTATACATCGTAACTTAAACGATTTGAAAGCTGGGGAATCCATCCTGGTTAGACAATGAAAGTAAATTCAAAGTAAAAAACACCAAAATACAAAGGTAAATTAGATCACAAGATAAAATATTAATTAACTTTCTTCTTGTTGACAAGATTAATAGTCAATTTGGTTAAACAAAACATAAAAAAAATTTGCCGCCATCTTTCATTTAGCAATTTTTTCTTGACTAATTAAGACATTGGGAAAAACTATTGTAGAGCGATCTAGCGGTAAAAAGAAGGGGTTAAACTTGATTCATATGTTAATGTATAATATAGATGGCGGCATTAATGAGTATCTCTTGGCTGATTTTACTTGTGTGTTGTGTTTACAATTAATATTAATTAATTAGTTTGTGTCCTTCTTACCCGTAGTCCAGGATCCATCATTATGTTCAATCTCTTCAACTCCAATTACATACCAAATACAGGCTAACCAGTGAGCAACCAAGGAAAACAATAACATAAGCAGAGTTAATATAATGTAACTGTATTGTGAGTAACGATCCATTTTGGCAAATAATCGAGCCAATCTCAAGAGGCGAGTTAATTTAAGTAAATGAGTTAACGTGTTCTGTTAATCATATCATAAGGTAAGTAAACAGATGATTAGAGTTTAATGGTCTCTCTATTAATAAACACCTAAGGTTAATTATTTCATTTTCTTTCAAGTATTATTGATAACAGGACAAAAGGATGAAGGTGTAAAGGGTCAACATGTAGGATAAAGGACAAAGGATCAAGACGGACTTACCCTTGTATAAAGATTGGCTGCGTACAAAACATCAAAAGGTAAAGCTGCAATTAGATCACAGAAGAACCAACCACGAATATAATGGATAACAATTGATTTCGATTTGGTTACCACTTCACCTTTCTTATTTACAAAAGTTGTACGGAAGTTTAATAATATATCTTTGGACCAATCAAGGGAATAGGAAGAGAAGGAAAAAGACAAAAAAATGATGAATTAATTTAAGGCAACAATGCAAAGGAGTTAATGGAAATGTTGAAAATGATTGTTGATTGCAGCAAATAATAAAGCCAGTTATGTCTTTTGTATATATCCATAAATGCATGAATGCGATTCCATCTCTACACTACTTGAATTAATTAGTCTTATCAAATTAATAGAAGCTTATTACTTACAGTTGCTTTAAGACTAATTATAAGGTTATATATTTTACCATAAGTACCAGTTGCAACTAAAGCAAGTTGTACAATTACATTTTGAATTGATTACCATCTAAGACAATTTGATTGACGAGAACGGAAAGAAACAAGGGAAAAAGTCTCATAGTAAATGGTTAATTCTGGTTTTTCGATATTCCCTTTATATCCCAAAGTAAAATGTAATTTGATCAGGTTATATCATAAATAAATAAATAAATCACAAGCCAATAGATAATTACATTTTACAAACATTGAGCTTTACTATGAAATAAAAGGTAAACACACAGGTTCAGTTGAGCTTTGATTGTTTCATGAAAACAAAATGAAAATTGAATAATTCAACGATTGAAGCGATTTATTGAAACATTAATAAAGTTGAATAATCAAAAGGAAACATAAAAGTATCAAATGAAAGTTGAATGAAAAAAAAGAAGTAAAAAAATCTGCCAAAATGAAGGTTAAAAAAGCTCAATGTAAGTTGAAATACAGAAGCGCAAAAAATTTCCCTGTTAGTTGATTTTACCATCATTCAACTGCATTTACAGATCCAAGATGACAAGGAAATGATAAAGGTAAATCTTAAATGTAAAAATTGGATTAAAGGTTGAAGATGAAAAAGATGAACATTGAAGAAACAAAAGAAAGGTTGAAAAATTGGAAAGGTAAAAGCGATCATTCCAAGGTACATCATTATTAGTGTTGGAGCTGAAAATAAGTGAAACTGGGAGTAAAATTGAGGAAATAACCAGTTTTTTGTTCCCTTCAAATGTCTATGATATTGAAAGGGAAAAGTTGAATTGAAAAAATGAGTAAAATTAGCTCATTTCATTATATTAATCATTTCGTTTGTTGGGTTCACTTTAAATTGGAAGCAAAAGTGATACTTTTAATGAGAGCAACAAAAGAGGAAAGTTTAATCATTATCAAGTTTATCCTTTTACCATTTGAAGGGAAGAAGGAAATTTATCACAATTTTCAAGATGATTAGACATTGTTCAGGCCATCATGATTTATGGTTAGCCATGAAAGTTCCCAAGAGAAGCTTGAACAGTGTCAGTTGAAGAGGATGATGATGAAGGGAAATAAAGGTATAAAAACAAAAAGATGTTGGTCAAGATGAAATAAACAGTTTCCATAGTTGAGTCCATTGGGTGAGATTAAATAAATTTGACAACAATTACACCACAAAAACAGCGTAAAATAAGCATCTCATAATCTTAAATTAAGTATTATTTCAACGTTTCATTTTCACATCAACATCATTAACTGAATCATTTGATTCTCAGTCCAATCAGTGATCCTTTTCTGGTCTACAATCAATGTAACTCTAAGATGACCCTTGGGCCTTACAAATGTGACAACTTTACAGGTTGATTGACAAAAGGAAAAAACTTTAATCATCGAACGGATCATTAAAAGATAATCAAAAATGAACTTATTATTGAACCATTTGCCTTGGATTGACTGGGATTGATGCTTCCATCAAATGTAACTTACAACTTGTTAGTCGACTCAAGATTATTGATACAACTTGAAATTTGTAAGACTGAGCTTAACCTTTAAAATTCAAGTTCACAATTTGATGAAATTTGTATTCGTTTCTGACATTTGTTTTAAAGCTTACAATTTACATTTCTTATTCTTGCTAAAGCTGCTTTGATCATTGGAAGACGACAATTGATTTTATGGCAAATCTCGAGAAAACCTGGAAACAGTTGAATAAATCAAATTAACAACATTTGACTCGACACATATTAATATGTAATGAAGCTTGAAATGAAATTTCTATCAATGCTCAGTGTTAACCTTTTCATGTCAACCTGAAACATTTCAAATCTTGAAAAAATGAAAGTTGAAAAGAAAAAAAATGTTCATATTTTTCCTTCTTAATTGCAATAAAATTTCAAATATTCATGTAAAGTATCATGAATCGAGTTTTTTTCATTGAAAAAAAGATGTTATTAAAGATTTCCATTTTTGAGTATTTCCATGAAAACTTGACGTTTAAAGACTGAAAATATTAGCAAAATGAATCAAAATTCACATGTAAACGTTTAACCAGAAAAGTCTAAAAAATCCAAGTTCTTCAAACCAATTATTCTGAATGAAAAAGATACAAAAAAACAAATTAGCTCACAATTTTAGAGTCGCAATTAGAAGTGAAAATGTTGAAAAACTCAAAGCTTTTGTTTCAAGCCTTTGGCAGACTCTTGAGACTTGGAATTGAATTGAAATAAATATTCTTGTTATTACTTTAAATTGAGTTGAAGTTATTTAACATCAGATTGCATATAATGTGCTTAATTAGGTTCAACTGTTTGACATAAAAGCTGATCAAATTGTCATTTCATGGAAATAATAAATTCAATATTGAAACCATAAATTGCATTCTATTGTTATTACAAGGCTGAGAAGTAAATTGTTGAAGGTTGCCAGTCAATCTCGAGACAATCTGAATCCAATTGTTGTATCTTAATTCAATTATGATTATCGTTTAAGCGCAAAATGAATAGGAAAAAAAATGTTGAATGAAAATAAAAAGCTAAATAAAGACAAAAGTAAAAAGACAAAAGTAAAATGAGAAAACAAATAAAAGGAAAAGACATTTGACATGATTTAATAAGCAATCAAATGATTGCTGGAGATTGCATTTACGCTCATCAAATGTGATTCAATTGGCAATAATTTGATTATCAAATTAAAACTCTTTTTACTCACATTTAACCCAAATGATCGTCAATTGAATTTGGGTTAAAGGAGAAACAAATCAAATTGGCTAATTGTTCTAATGGGTTAATAAGAGTTGATATAATAAATATGAATCATGAATCAAGCTGATAAAACTTGAAGCTGATGATGTTGGCAAGAATCAAGAGATAAAATCAGTTAATGTAACAAGAAATTTCAGTGAAATCCATGAAATAGAAATGAAAATAATAATGTTAATGATGATTGGAAGGGAAAAGGCAAAAATTGGTTATTTATGAGTTGAATTTATATGATGATTTGAATAAGGTAATAATAAATATCAACTTTGAATAATACAAAGTGAAATGAGATATTTTTTGCCATGAAAAACCTTTCTTTTCACCATTACCTTGACATTTCAATGGGAATGGCAATTGAGAATAACAATAACAATAAATAATGATAATGGAAGCATTAAGATTAACAGAAGCTGCAAACTAACTGAATGGATTAATAAATTAATGTTGTTTTATTTCCAGCTTTTTACACTTTTCATGTTTCTTTTGCTTTCAATATTTGCGCTTTTGTTAAACTTTTTTTCTGGTAAATTTGGGTTTATCAATGATTTTGTATTAAGAGTCAATTAAAATATAATCAAGAGCATAAAATGGGGAATCAATTTTTTCACAATTAGTTTCAATTGTTGAATGTGCGTTTTAACAGATCGAGTAATGATCTTTCAATGAGCACAATTAAATGATCGTTAAAATGATAAAATTGTTTTGCCATTTGGTAATTGTTTCAATTTTTAGAGCTGAAAACACTCCAATAGATAATTGTTTGGTTATCATGATATTCAAGGGAATATGCAATAGAAATAAGCAAAATTGGAAAAATTCTGAATATCCATAATTCATTTCTAATATTGGTGAAAATAGGAAAATTCAGTTTCTAATCAAAAAGGTTAGCATAAGATTTAACTGCAAATTAACGCTTCTTGGATCGACTCCATTTCTTGGTTAGCAATTAAGAGTTGAGTTGCAAGAAAAGCTTTTTCTGATGGAAATTATGGACGGAATTGATCTTTTTAAATCAGTTCATTCGTCGATTCGATGCAATACTAACTATCATTTTCGTCATTCAAATCAATTGATGAATATCGTTCTTGTCCTCATCTGGCATTTATGAGTGAGTTGAGCATTTATGTTTCCACAAAATGTGTCGTTTGAAGATCAAATGAAAAAACAAAAGCAAGAAACATTAAAAGATGTAAAACATGTCGAGTAGAGGAATCAACCTGAAAATTAAATTCACACTTTGAACTTTTGAAGTCCATTATAAAGGTAACTGACAGAGGTTGACAGATTTAAGTCAACATGAATAACAAATACAATGTAGTTCTTTACTAATGATACAATCAAGACATTTTGAAGGTTTGAGTGAGTTTAACTTACCAATTATGAAGACAATTTCAACAAAAACATCAGTATATATTGTGGCCGGAGTATCGTTACTTTCTCGGAAAGAAGCACTATAAGGTACAACAATGGCTACATAAAAGGTTGCTATCAATATCAACCAGTCCCAGCAGGTTTTAAAAGCACCATAATGAGAGAGGATGAAACGAGGTTTTTTAATGGTGGCTGCCTTGTATTCGGGAAGCGATGAGGAGTGAAGTAAATTCTGGAAATGGAAAGAAAATTTGTGTAAATAGAATTGACCTTTTTTAGCAAGAAATTTAATTAGCCTTTTCTGCCAACTTACATTGTTCAACTTAAGCTTTGATTTCATGCTAACACTGCGTCTATAGTGACCTGACAATTGATATAAAACGGCTCTGCTTCGTCGACGCTGATAGTGGCTTGCAGGTAGGCGAGGATGATCACCTTCACTTTCATCGTCATCCATGTCATCTTCGCCATCGGAATCTGGACTGCTTTTGTTGTCCTCTTCTTCTTCATCCATCTTGGATTTGGTTACATCCTTGTGAGAAGCCAAGAACAGGACAACTTCGTGTTTCTCATTTTTAATAGGAACGATGTCCAGAAGACACCAAAAAGGTATACCTGGATGGGAAACGAAGAAACGTTAACAATCCTTTTTCATTTTCAAAGTTTAATAAACTGAATTGAAGCAAACATTTTCAAAGTTTCTACAAATTGAAACACTTGGTTAACAAGGAAATGTTTCATTTTTCACTTTACGCTCTTTATTTGTATAAAATTGTTTTGTTCAAAGTAAAATCGTTGAAATCCTACCTTGCGTTTACCTCGCTTCATTTCATTTCAAATCATCATGCTTTTCAGTTCCCTATTTTACTTTGCCTAAATGATAACGTGAGTTGAATTGGAATGGAATAAAATATCAATTTTACTTTTCAACCTTCCCTGCATTATCATTATTTATGCTTGTTTTTGTTAATCGAAAAAGATAAATAAAATGAAATTAAAAGTCAAAACAAGAAGCAAGATTGGATGAAACAGAACAGAAAAGATAAAAAAAACTTGGCGATGCAAGCAACTTCGATATTATCGAATGATTTGTACAGTTTATTTCAGAATGTACATTTGATATTAAATTAATTCCAAGTCAAGTGTTTTAACGATGCCATCAAGACAAAGAAAAAGAACATTCAACTGGTGGTCGAAACGCAAAAATTTTATTCGATCACAAAAATTGTCGTTCTTTAATAATTCAAGAAAATCCCAATCATTCTACGATAAACGAAGCAAAGCGATAGAAGCACTTTAAAACACTATTAAATTGTGATTTTGCTTAAACAAAAAAGTTCAGAATCATAAATAAAAAAATCATTTTCATTCTCACTCCCAGTTATTCTGATATTTTTCACTCCAAGCACTTGAATTATTATTTAGCTTTGGTTATCAACTTTTAGTTTTTTACTGAAGTTGAAAGTAATTTTTGCCTTTTCTCATTGAATAGCATCTTAATAATCTTACGAATTGTTAGTAATTATGTTTTGCTATTTTGGTTCAAAGACAATGAAGTTACTGATTTTTCTGATTTGCTTGAGAAATACTGGAATGAAGAAAAAATCTTTGTATTGATGTTCAAAGATTATTGAAATTTAATGAATGGAATTGAAAATTTGTTGATCTGTAATTACTTTTAATACTGAATGATGATCTTGCTTCCATAATCTTGTCTATTATTGATATTTATTGATGAAAACTGATGCTTAATGTTTCTTAATCATTTCATGGTTTCATTTTACAATTCAACAAGACATGGTTAACTGACATGAAAGGCAAGAAAAAAAAGTAGACAAAAGAAAACAAGAAAAAAGACATTTTCCAAGGGAAAAAATCAACCATTCAATATGTGACCAGAATAATCTATTCATTGTATTATCTGTTGTTTACTTTGAATAACTTTTATTTTTTCTCTCTTTCCACCACTTGATGTTACCTTGTTCAGTCCCTACTTTATCCTACTCTGGTTAATCACATTTAACTAGATGACCAGCAATCTGATAATTTGATTTTTTGTTCAATTTACCATTTTAATCCAGATTAATATTGATTGAGATCAATCTTGGAAGTCAACAAGACATTGAATATGAACGAAAAGGAAGCTCAAACAGACACTCACTTGGTAATGAACTTTTGATTGACAAACATACAAAAAGTTGCAGTTTTAGCACATTTAAATTGGTTAAACACAGAAAAGTAAAGGTCAGAGTTGCGTCAATGGAAAGTAAATGCTGGCGAATATCAATTACAATTGTTTCATTACAATGCTAATAGAAGTTGCAATAAGCTGATGGCAAGCATTTTTGCGATTCTTTTCATTTATCTGTTGACCATTCATTCCATTCAATCAGTTGGTTTTGCATAAGCTTATTCATTGCAAGTTCATCATGAAGCTTGCAATTTTCATATTCATTCATGCATTTGAATAAATCGAATCTTGATCAAATGTATTATCAAATTTTGGGCATTATTATCGATCCAACCAAATGTTTGACCAACTCATCTTGAAATTTCTCTTTTCAGTCCAAAGCAATTTAACTAAAAGTCTTGAATATGAATGTAACTTAAGTCGCGATGCTAAATCTAATAACATAACTTGCAAACGTACTATTAGATTATTTGATGCGATCATAAAATTTACTTGATTGAGAGCCTTCGTTGAGAGAGAGAGAAGAAAAACTTTCGTTCTAACGTTTTTCCAAATATCATTCCTTTTTCATATTCTTTTCAGTTTTGTTTCACTGAAAATCGATAATTGTCATTCTGTTGAAGTATTATGTTGAGGCTAATTGAGTTAGCCTCTAGCGTTGAAAACGTTTGAGTTTTTACGTTCAAAGGTAAACTTACCGTTTCTTTTGTAAAGTAAAACTTCCAATTTAAGTTCGGTTTTATTTTCAAGAGATTCTTCAATCGACTTTTTGTGCTCTTCAGACGTTTCCTCACCGAACAGGAAACTGCAGGCGCAGCCTTTTTGCATGATATGGGCTCTTGGGAAGCCGGTAAGCTCACAGAATCCATCGGAACAATATACAATTGGATAAAGGTTTGGGACTTGAGCATTTCCAAGAACGAAGTTACTATCTGTAAATAGAAGTCAAAGCAAACTTGCCATTAACATTAATCGAATGCGGGAAAGAACTTCAATTTTCGTTTCTCACACATCACAAGTTGTTTATTCCAAGTTGATTTACACAAATTTTCATGAGAAATTGAATAAAAACAAACTTGAACAACATTAAACTGCATCGTTAACATTGACTCGACTTTCTGATAATTTAAATTGTTATTTTCATTGGATTCATTTAATTGTTTGGTTAAGATTTATGATGAAATGGTTAGAAAGGAAGAAAGTTGAAAGTAAATTGAGAATTAAAAGTGACATGGAATCAATAAAAGGAAGATAAACAAAACTCACTGAATAATAGTAATCACATTATCTTGATTGTTTCCATCATGAAATTCAACTGAAACTAATAACAATAACAATAATAGGGAAACATAAAAATTGGCTGGAAACTCATTTGATTGAAAATTATTTTCACTCCCAAAACATTTCAACCTTTTAATCGTGTCTAACTGTAAACTTGGTAACATCAGCAAAAAGCAGTTTTACAATTAGCTTCATGCATCCAACTTTTGCCATTGGACATTTTACCATAAAAGCTGATACAACTGATCGACTAATTGAACCTTTAATGATCCTTCTTTTGTGTATTCAATAATATTTGCCTTTTACAATAAACATTGAAAAATCATGCTTCTATTCAACATTTATGACTATTGTGACCAACGAACCAACGAAAAGCTACAAAATTTGCTTTGCATTTCTTTATTCATAATTAAAGCATTTATTTGATCAAGATCAATTTTTAAACCAACTTCTTCAAATTTTCTTGTTTGCTTTTTCAAAAATTAGACTTTCCAAGCTGAGAAATAGCAGTTCGAGTCGTTTTAAGACGCAAGAATCTTGATTTTGTGACAATGCTAATGGTTAAATATGCTAAATTGCAAACGAAACTTGATTCATATGAAGATTTGTGCTGTTAGATTGAGTTTAAAGTTATAATTTCACATTGACTCGTTTCTTTGTCGTTATTATAAATGCAATTATTTCATCTTAAATATAAATTGTGTTATTTGATCTGTGTAAAATGCTTTTGAAACGATTGCTAAGCTTTTTAGAAACTTTTTTGTTCAGTTATTGTAGAGCTGACTTTTCTGTATTAAAGATGTTCTGAACAGAAAAGATTTATTCTTATGATTAAGCATCAATTTAGACTTAACTATTATTATATACTGATTTATCTACTAATATATCGACTAGCATCCAAACCCAGACAATAGCAACTTGTATCAATTTGAATCTAACTATGAAATGGCTTACAGAACAGAACTTGTAATAGAAATTAATGAATTCTCTTTTCATTAATCAATTGGACGAACTGACTGCACTAACTGGTTTTAACCCAAAAGAGCTTTTAGTTGTCTATTCGTTGTCTGGAGCAAGACGTAGCTTGAATAAGGGTAAACATTTTGATCGCGACTTTCAATGATAACTGTAGTTGTAAGATTATTATATGTATTAACTTTTATATTGAACGGAATAGGATGAAAAGGAGAAACAAAAACAAGATGAAACTGATTGTTAGTCAATTTGAGGCGAGTTAATATCCACTTTATAAAAGTACAGATTAATACTGGGAAAAGGTTGGTTGGGATGTTCAGACAAAAGGTAAACAGAAAACAAAAGAGTTGCAAGTTTCAACTAATTCTTTCATTCCTTTTACTCTTTCCTCTCATGAGGTTAACCATATCATTATTGTTATTATAAATGTAATTGTCTTATTTTATTTTCATTTCATCTTCTTCTTCGAACAGTAAATTCAACTCTATCCACTAATAACATTACGATATTGCCTAAAGGTGTTTTTCATCTTATATTAATACATTATTCTCGATGATAATGAAATGAAAATTGCAATACTTTTCATCTAAACATGTAATTGAACAATAAGAAGTCTAAAAATTGAATTAACTCGAGTCAATATTGAAAAGATGATAAAATGTTACTTTTCATTCATCAATTGACATTCAAAACATAAATCATTAAAACATCTAAATAAGCGATCGACTTTGTATCAATAAAGAAACAATCAAATTAAAAGAAAAGCCTTAACTCGGAAGGATTGTGATTAATTATTGTTAATGAATTCGTTTATTCTCAGATGAGCATTCAATTAGCAGACTCGTTGATTAGCTTTAAATTTCTGATTGATTAAGCTTTAGTAATGGAATTGGTTTGGATGCAATTATAATGCAATTTGATTGTACATCTAGATTTGGAAAACAATTGACCAAGAATTTTGTATTTTTGCATTGCATTAACAGGGAATTGGAATGAAAATTTGTTTCAATCAACTTGAAGTGAATATGATGAAGAGATCAAGTTGCATCTTGCAGTGTTGATGATAAATTGATTGGTGAAAATGATGTAAAAGGTACTTACGAGTTCCATCAAATCTTGTAGCTATGGTGTCAAGGAAAGTATTTTGTGGAGCCAAAAGTCCTTTCCTTGCAGGCATTGAGAAAGGACAATCACTTATTTATCCTTTAATCCCAGCTTGATGATTGTTTGATATTGGCTTGGATCTAATCAAGTTATAACTTTACTTCCAAAACACGAACACCAAACAAGAGGAAACAATAATTTCAACTCAACTTCACTTCAACATTTTTATTTACAAACATTTCCACTCTCATTTCAACTTGCAATATCAGGTTTGAAACAATTTTTTCCTTAAAATTACAAAATTAGGAAGAAAAGGTAAGAAAAAAGTTTCCCTCTTCAAATGGAAACTTGAAGTGGACATGAAAATGTAAACTTTGATTGTTTACCATCAAAACGAGGAATGATTTTATCTGTGAAAAAAGAAGACAAAGAAAAAGATTTTAAATTTTAGATGAAAATAGAAACATTTCAGAGGTTTATCGTGATTTATCATTTAAAATGGCATTACATTGAATTTAATATCATGATATTAATGACAATTTCGAGTCATTTCATTAGACAATTCGCCATTCTCGTCATTATTGTTGATTCATTTTACGTGGTTAATGGAATCGTTGAAAGGTTGAAATTGAATACTCAACATTACAATATTTTGTCAACTCTAAACTGGATTCATTCACTTTCCAGTCACGTAACGCTTTAGATGTATTTTTGTCTCTTGTATTGAACGCGGTTCAAGCCAAAGTTGAATGGCTTCAAAGGCGACAATTGTCAGGTTAACCTAATGAGTGAAAATTTATTGCCGACCAAAAACTAGTCGAGAAAGCATTTAGTCTTTGCTCAAGTAACAATAAATTTATGAGTTATAATTGGAGTTACTTGGATGAATGTCAAAAGTGAAGAAACATTTTTGTCTTCTTGACCATTGTTGACCATAGAAAGGATAGAAAAGAAGAAAAATTTTGTTCTAAAGAAACATTTTCTTTCCTTTCTTTTCTGTGGTTACCAAAATAGTCTGAATGACAATCAATATGCGTTACTTTTCCAACTACTCATCATGAGATTGTCCAGCAAATCTACGAATCTCATCAAAATTACTTTGCTAAATAATTGATGCTTGTTCATGAGCAAATCAAAGAAAGTTCAGCAAAAAATGGAATAAAAGCGAATTCCATTCTGTCGACTTCAAATGAATTATCAAAATTCATGTTATAAATCATTTTCACTTTTCATTACTTAATAGCAAAATGCTTATTCACTCAACAGTTTTCATCTATTATTTAGAAACTGATTTTGCAAATGAAAATGTAAACTCGAATCACTTTGGATCAAAATTAGCAATCGACTAAATTTGCTCCAAGTTAATCTCTTTCCGATCAGTTATTCATCATCAATCAATGTCAATGTGTTAAGACAAAATGATGAGGTCAAATGAAGTAAAAAAATTAACATCAATATGAAGTGAAAGACTTTTTATTCAAATACATTTTTAGTGTTTCTCTTATGTTTCATTTACCGATACATATAATGTAATAACTTGATCTTCATTTAACTTGAACTAAACATTGCAATGTAGGTCAACCTTTGAAGAGGTAAAATTTACTCTTTACTTCTGTTTACTTGGACATTTGCCTTTCTTGTCAAATGATCATGTTCAATGATGATTCCAACAGAATGATAACCTTTCGATAATGAAAGGTTTCAGCAACTTTATTTCAAAGTTAAATCAAGTGAGTTTTGTACTATTTGACGAAAAAAGATGAAGAATCTGAGTAAATAGAAGAGAAGCTTTTCCAGATACAATGTAAAGGGACAAGTAAACACAATTTACTCGACTGAGAATCTGAGAGGGGAAATCAGTTCATTACACGATTCTTAATATGGTTGACTGTTGATCAAAAGAGAGACAAAAATTATTCAGAATCATTTTTCTCTCTTCTTTTCGGTCAACTTCAAAACTAGCAAATGCTGGAAACTTTGCAATGGACAAACTTTTCCATTCTCAACTATTGAACCTTTTAATTGGAATTCCGAACAATTCTGAACTTGTTAAACATGCAATGGAGTCTCAAGTATTTTAATGGTAAAAACATTGAGTTTCATGGGTAACATCATTTAATAGTCGTCGTGATTGATGTTTAAGCATTTTGTTTGGTTCAATTTTTAACCCAAAATTTCAAAACATATTGCTTTAAGCGAGAAGAAACTGAAATGAAATCAATTGCAACAGTTTAAAAGCATTGTTGCTGTTGTTTAAAGGCAACTGTAAATTGCTTGTCAAATGGCGTTTCCATCAAAACTTAATCAACTTACATTAAAGAAAGCAAATCTAATATGAACTGTGAAAATGAATAAGTGAAGAAACTTGAAAACTTGTAAACTCAACAATAAGTGTGTTATGAAAACAAAAAGTACAAAATATAAACCTTTATTTAAACTCATTTGCTATTCAAATAGGAAGTCAACAATTTCCGTTGAACCATTTAATGATAACAATAATTGCTCTCATTTCATTTCCATTAAAGATTAACACTGATATACGCAGAAAAATCAGTAAACATGGAACCTCTAATGATATCGATCAAAACTTCATAAAATTACTTTTCATAGCAAACAAATCAATCAAAATTTCTGAAAAAAGAAATGACGAATTACAAAGAAGTTAAATTTTAATTAAAACTTGAAGTACAAAAAGGTTGTTACAATTGTCACAGTTTGTCACAAAACAATTAAAGAAACTGGGAATCAGAAAAGGTGAATCTCGAAAGGGAAAATTGTTGAAATGGAAAAGAATTTGAAGACGAAAATTCCTGAAATCTGGTTGACCCTCTTTTCGTTGCTTTCATGACATTAGTTTTACACCTTTTATCCATTTCCGACTTTACCTAACTTATTTCTTCCTCTTCCCAACCCAAACATTGTTATCATTGAACTTAACTGGCAATATTAACCAAGTTGCAATGTTGTCTCATCAAATGTGCCAACCTCTGGGAGTAAAAACTCCAAGGCTCTGCGAGGCAACGACAATAAACACTTCTTAAGATGTGATAATTTTCAAGTTTCTATTCTGTCTTTTCCTCTTCTGTCAAACATCAACATAAATGTTATCACTTTTTGTCATAAGAGTAAAAATTTCCTTCCCAGTTGCACATTATTGCTTTTATCCAATATCCATAAAAGTGTCAGGGAAACACACATTTTCCATGCAGTTAAATGTTCTGATTACACTTTGATATTCCATGATGAAATTAATCTTGTTTTTCTCTTTAAATCAATTTGCATTTCAAACTAATCAAATGGCAAGAGTCAAGTTGAATGAAAGCTTTTTTTGGAAATTCTTTTTTCGATTTCAGGTAAATCTTTTTTTTCGTTCATCAATTTTCACGTTCACCATCATAATAACTATTGATACATTTTACCTGCATTTTACTTTCACTGTTCATGTAAATAATATGTTTCCATGAAGCAGTTTCAGGCTGCAAATTTTCGCTTCTTGAATAAAATGTATTGTTGGAAACTCTTGGTTCATCCATGTTCAAATATTGTTTCAATATTCAGTGTAAGGTAAACAAAGTAAAGGCTATTCATGTTATTTACACTCAAAGGTATCATTACCTACTCAATACATGAGTAAGTACATTTACAAATGATTGCAACTATTCAATCATTTTATTATAACACCAAATAAGAATACAACTTTTTTTTGTTTCCTTTTCTAAACTTATTCTTCTCTGTTCATGCATAAAAAGTATCTTGAGTGTAACACACAAAAAGACTTGGGAAAAAAACTGAAGAAATGGCCAATTTCCAGTTTTATTTTCATCACTTTTTTGAATAAACTCAAACAGCAAACAAAGAAACACTCATCCATCATGTTCAACACAATTGATAGCCCAGTGTTTGACAAATTTTCAATAAAATTGTAATAATTGTTACACTTTGATCAACTATCATGACCAATTGTGTATTCAATAAAGATTGATGTGCAAATGAACATAAATTCAGTAGAGTTAGCAAGATGGAAAAAATTGATCAACTTTTTTACTTCGGCAAGGAATTGAGTGTTTACAAATATAAATATCTTTCCCATTCCAAGCTTTACAGAAAGTACTGGATACACTAAACGATTTTTACTTCACAAATAAGTTTTTCAGAACGAATGATCCTAGTGTTGGAAAAAGAATGAACTTTTGACTTTCTTTAGAAAACGCTTATTGCGATTCTCAAACTTAAAGAGTCCACATCTTGAAGCTTAATTGCAATACCATTGAATTATGTAATCTTATTTCTTTTAAGAAAATCAGAATAGATTCAAGTTTAAAAATCAATATTTTTATTCGATACATGAAATGTTCCTTTTTTCCTGAGTTCTTCCAAGAACTTTTTATCTCTTTGTTTCAATAGAGAAAGCTGATTCTTCGTTGCACTCCAATCGAAATGCACATTTTTTAGTTATTCAAGATTTCTGTAACACTTTCCAAACACTCTTTTCTTGGAAACCTTCAAAACGAATAGAAAATGCTCTTTTAAAATCTTGTTTCGCCAAGCAAACAAGTCAGAGGCCATTTTCCCGATCTGGTCCTTTCCACCTGACATTATAAGACTGAATCTGCTTCGTAATCTTTAGGCTTCTGTTGTTCAAGTACGTAACCGAAGCCAATGATCAGTTCACTTTCGTTGGTTAGAGGATCCTTGCACTACCTAACGTTAGTATTGGCCACAAAACTGCGACAAGTTCACTAATAAAACTTGAGTGATCATGGTTTGATCTCAAGGGGCAAATAAAGTCGATATTGAGCATTTTTTTGCTTGTCGTTTTGTCAACATTTTCAGGCAAAAGAATCAATTAACTTGGATAACATTTTGATTTAAAACATGATTAGCTTGATTGATTAACTTGATTGATTAATATGCATCCTAACATGATGATTTGTCATGTTGATGAAAATCAGTAAATCACAATGGCTTTATTTTGCTGAAAAACAACAACACCGATTCAATATTAGCGAGAAAGAAATGTTGTCAATCTCTTTTTTTCACTCTACAGAGTGGCGAGAAAGTTTATGTGGAAAGGGGCAAGTAAAAGGGGGATAAATATGCGCATAGAAGAGCGGCTAATATGAACAAATTAAGTCATCGATTTAAACAAATTAAAAATTGGTTTCTACGCATATTGAATGGGCGTTGCTTACCCGCATAAACTTTCTCGCCACTCTGTAACTTATCCTGTTATTGTTCCCATTGAATGTCAAAATAATCTGTAAACAATGTTATCTTGCAAACGGTGCGTTTTGATACATTTTTTTCACTTTCATCATTACACATTCACATTAAACGTACACACAGTCTTGTATATGTGTGTTTGAAGGGTGCAACATCGTCAATCAAATTGACTGTTCCCATGTTTATC